AATCTGCACAAAGCTGATATGTCAGATTTCTTAGTAAACTTGAACTCGTGAAACCATTTTACCATTCCCACTCTCGGATTGCCCTCGAAATAATACCTTTTCCTGTTCTCTGACCTGTTTTCATATAGGTACTGCAATTTTTCCCTTTCTTCATTGTTATAACAATATAATTTATTTTGGCTGAATATTGCGAGAATTGAATATCGTCTAACGCACTTTTAGAGTCAGAAAAAATCACACTCTTACTCCATTCGTTTCAATTAGTTTTAGTGAAATAAAAATTTGAAATACTTGATTCGAAATACAAAAAAATATATAGCCCTAAACAACAGTTACAAAAATTAAGTGCGCCACATTAGTTTTACTATTTGTGGGCCCTAACCCATTTTTTTTTGGGCCCTCACCTATTAAACCGTTCCTCCGAGAATTGTAGATAAATATTGAATAACTTTTAGATAGAAATTATATAAATAAATCAGATTTAAAGACAAAAAAAAGCGGAAAAATGAATTATATTTGAATTTAAAGTGAGTATATGGAGTTGCCTACATACAATCATAAAATTTTCTGCAAACATGAATTAAATATATTTATTGATTTATGATTATTTATTGACATATTATATATAATTATTAGAATATCCAATTACTTTTAAAGTATAAATATTATTGTTTTCAATAGAAAATTGAGGTCAGATGCTCTTAAAGGAAACATGTTTCATTAGTGAACTAAATCTAAAATCTTAATTGTGGGAATTGAAGGACATATGTCTATTGCAAAATCATAGTGAAACCAAATGCTAAAGGATATACGTTTGTTTTGGCATGTGTAACTGTATTATGTCATGCCTTAAAAATATTAATCGTATTTTGTAGCAATTGCTCATGAAAACTTCCCTTCATTGTTAGATTACGTAATGAAAATTAAGAGCGATAATTTCGTATAATCTTCCATGATTTATATTATAAATTCCACAAATTTCAAGTTCTAGGCAATATTTTTAAATAATAAATAATAAGTTCTAAAATTTACAACAAATCTCCCATAAAGTCTATATAATTTGAGTAATAATTAATTTAATTATAACGTTTTTTGCAATAGTCATCAAAAGTAATTAAAAATAAATACATAGTTATAATACCTATTACTTTATCAAAAAAAAAACATTCCAAAGGACAAGAGACCATAGGTCATTATAGTAAGTTTTACTATATGTGAAGCCAAACTAGTATATAGTCATTTATATTGCAATTATAAATGGAAAAACTTTGGACTTTTATATTAAGTAAAAGTATTTATCAAATATTATGTAGTGTCTTCTTATAAATTAATATTAAGGAAATTATTTTTTTGATATATCTTTCTATATAGTAAGATCTCGCATAGTGCAACTTCCATCAATTCGGATTCACTATAGTCCGGTTTGAAACAAACTAAATTTTAATTGAGCAAAATAAATTAATTTTTTTTTATTAATTCTCGAAAAAAAATGTTAATATTCAAATAAATCTTACATAATATGTTTATTATGAAGACAAATTTTGATTTTATTCATATTTTCAATATTATTTGGATGATTTAAACTCTTTATCAATTTTGGACAAATAAAATTTTAATTTGTGAAATTATTATAATATTATTTTATAGTAAAACGAACTATTACAAAATACACTGTGACAGGACTTTGTGGTCCAGAAGAAAAGAAATCTACGTTTAATGATTTTTAAAATTTTACTGAAGTGAGCTATGAATATTCATAGTTACATGAATTGTGTTCAGTACTCTTTGCCAACTAACGACTAATGTATTTTAGTAGAAGAGCAACCAGCATACATTTATTACTACATTATTTTTATATTATTTTACTTGAAACAAACATTGTTTTCTTTATGTATTATTTATTAAAAATTTAAATATAGTCTGTTTACTGAAATACACGAGTATTGATGATTAATCTGTGTCTACTATGTTTAACACTGTTACTAGTTGCCCTACCCACGATTTCGTGGGCGCCGGTTTGAATCCTGGTCAAGCCAGGCCCTTTTTGAGCCCTCTCGGTGCTTGCAACAATAGGGCCATCGTTCATCACAGATAGACAGTCAAATGAATGAAGTTCAGCATATGGAGCTTCAGCCAAGTCGATGGAAAATGACAGTGTTAAGGATAACAGCAGATTCACAGTCAAAGGAAATTATGGAATCGTAGAGCATCAATATTCTACTGAAATTAACCTACAAGACGACAGCCAACAAACATATTAAACATCGAATCATCATAATGGTAACTATCCACCGGGAAATATTATTCATCTAATGTCAACCGCGATCTTAAATTTACTCAATGTTCACATTGATGAACAGATTATTAATAAAATTATACGACATACAAAAAATATACTAAAAAAGTATAATAGGAACAAGTTGTAGAAATATACGTTCTAATATAATACATTCGTAATTGGATTAAGACATAGACTGGAAAACTGCAAACAAATAAAAATTATAGTAAAAATAATAACTGAATTTACTTGAATAAAAATAAACATATTTATTAGCCATTTTGACCAAAAGGCTATCAACTAAGGTCCTTGGTCGAAAATACCAATAAATTTTGTAATAAACAATATATTAGATTAAAGATATTTAATAAAGATTTTCAGTTTAATATTGTAAATTTTATGGTTTTTATCAGTTTGAAGAATTAAAATGTCTTTCTGCCCTTAATAAAATTATTATTAATGTAATATTGTTATTTGTATTTGAAATGGATGTTTTCTTATGTAAACAACATCTGATTGGAGATGCGGAATGAGCGTTGGCGCGTTGAATAATTAAGAGGTGGCTGAGAAGAGGGAGTGAAAGTAGTTAAGTAATTTCCGTTTAAAAGGGGTTCGCTGCTAAGCAACCGATTTGATGAAGGGGTTTAAGTTAACGAACTTTAGGTGTGTTTGTGAGTATATATATATAGGTGTACATATATATATTTGTATGTGTATGCAGCCTAAATCGGGGGTTGAGCGAAACGTCTAAAAATTATCTTAATCTCAATTTACTTTCACCCCTTGCAAGATTTATATTTATACAACCATTATTTTGATTAAATCTTTATTCATTACTTGCCGAGCGGTGCTAATTAATTGTAACGACTTCGAAATTAATTGTTGTTCCTTCCTGCGAATGTGCGCTGCTCTTCCCACCACTACTACCACCATCTCCAAATTCGGAAGCTTATGTAAAGAAGAGCGGTAGATCGATACGTCTGACTCGGGATGTGCGCTTTATTGGGATGTGATTTGATTTGATTCTGTCAATACGACGAGCGTTGAAGCCAGCGATTTCCTTTGATGATGCCAACAGTTTCAAACTCGTTATATATATATATATTTTTTTTTTCATTTCTTACTTTTTGATGTTGTTGTTGTTGAAGTTCGAACTTCTTCTTCTTCGTTTCATCATCACGTTTACGGTTTCTTTTGTTTTAAGGTCGACTAAATTTTTATGAGCCGTTGTTTAGTGTTCTGCGGCTGCCGTAATTCAATACGCAACCGAAAATGCAGCCCTAAAAAATGGAGGAGGCCGACTAACCGGGATTTATCGCGGGGGGCGGCAGAGCGTTCCTTTCTTTATCTGGTGCGAAACCGATGCAAATGCGGTCTCGTTTGCGACGTAACAACTTGTAGGAACTCATGCAATATATTTATCATAACTTCGTAATTTACGGTTGGTATTTTATATGACCGCATAACATTACCGTAAATCTGCATAATTACGACGGCGAAGAGGAGAGGAACATAAAAAAAACAAGCAAGTGGTAAAAAATGTTAGCCACTTACGAGTAAGCTGTTGAATTATCTGGCAGCTATAAATAAAGCGTTCGTCGGGGTGTGCAACCCCCATGTGGGGTGCCGGCGCCGCCCGTCGACCAATTGGGCGATGAGTGCAAGGGTGAAAAGGCGGAGCTTGATGCAGCGACGCACCAATGAGGTGGCGCGACGGAGAACGTCGCCATAGATACAGGGGATACAGTTACACAGATTGGTATGGCATCTAAACATTTTATATAGTGATTGCAGTTTCGGTATAAACTCCCTTAGAATACGGTCCAGGAATCACGCAATTACTATGGAGAAATTAACGCAGTTCGTGTCCAAGTCATTCGATAACAACAACAGTTTAGTGAGTGAACAGGGTATGTCTGAAAGTATCATTAAAAGCGAGGAGGATGCTGATGCTAAGCCGCCGCCGCCGACTACTACAGCCGATGAAGAAACCGCCAAACTTATGAAACCGGTTGCCAAGAATTGGTTGATCTCCGATAGTCCTAAGTCTACAAACAGCACCTCCGCCTCCTACGGAATGGATCTAAGTTTGAATCATCAGAACGTGATCTACAGTTCGAGCTTGATACTCAATCAGACTCGTGCCTTCGAATCCTTGCAGAAAAGCGATAGTCAGAGACATACCGGTTCCACAAAAGTCAAGTGGTTCGACGTTAGTGATGTGAAAACGCCGTCGCCAAAGAACAGCTACCGCTCGACCTCCTCTTCACCCATAGACCTCGAGGATTCCAAGTCTTGTCCTGAGATCGATAAACCTGCAGAAGACACCAGTTACAACCAACAGAAAGATTCTAGTAGTCTATCCGTCGACAACGACAAGAAGTTATGTAAGTGATCAAGGTGGATGCGCCGGGTCAATTAAAAGTTACGTTCAAGATCCTTGATATCTATCTTGGTCAAGGTCTCAGAATGCAACTTCCTTAACAATAATTTTAAATAAACTTCATAACTTACATAATAGACAAGTCATTAATTTAAAATAATTATATTTTTTGTTGATCTAAGAGTTTTAAATCGAAACCTTTACAATATATTTCAATCAAAATAATGTTTATATTAATTGGATTATTTAATTTTATAAGTAACGAAAAATGAACAAAAGATAAAAAATAATTACTTAAACATTTACTAAAAATATTCTGATTTAAGATTTTAGTAGCAATCGCTTCTCGAAATGCAAATATTGTCCAATTTCAGTACAATAACGTATTCTATTAGTTATGTTTAAATTGTTATTATCAATAGTTTAATGAAAAAGAAAGTAAGAATAGAAGGTATACAAATTCGAAACTAAAATCTTTCAAATATATATGAGAATATTGTAAATTACACAAACAAATGTTACTATGAAATGTTGCTATATCTTGTTTATTAGTTCCATTTTATGAATGAAAGTATTAATAAAATTATTTTTCATTAAAAATCATGAAATATTTCAAAACAAAATAAGGGTATTTTTTTAATATTAATTCTTTAGTGTTGATATTATTTTTTTGTTACTATGATTTTGTATCTTTGTATACAAAAAGAATAGACATTTTTCAGTATAAAGTAAATCATATTAAATTTGGTTATTTTTATTTCCATCTAAGATAATTTGTATTGACTTTTGTTCAAATTGTGTTGATTATTGTTCAATTATATTTTATCTTCTATATATACAAGTTGAAGTAAATATTTGGAAAGGCACACGGAGAAAACATATTTTTTTAATGACATTTCTTCTAAGTTCCGAAAACTTTATAGACTGGTTATTGAAAAGTTACAATTATGAAATAAAAGAAAGTTATCACAAAATTTGATAAATTTATCTTTATATATTATTTACAAATTTTAAGTGAAAAACAAAATCCATTTTAATTTAATTACTTAAGTATTAGATTGTTATAATTAATATCTGTATTCCATTCTGTATGATAACAACTAAATTTATATGAAGATTATATATCAAAGTTTTAATTACTTTCTTTTGTTGTCGTTACAAATTGTCAATTGAAAATAGTATTAACTATAAAAAAAAACTAGTTTTAAAACAAATGATAAATAAGTAAATTAACAATTTTATATTTTTTTTTAATTACATAAATTTTTTTAATGCAATGAATTTTGTCGAATGATTAACGATATCTTAAATTTCAAATGTTTTAGTCCTATTATTGAGAAAATTTGAGTAGCAAAATAATTTAAGATATTCTTCATTCTTTATGTAACCTCTTATTTTATTAAGATCTTTAGATAATTTGTATATTTAACTTGAATTAGAATTATTAAAAAAAAAACATTTTTATACACAAAAATAATAATAAAACATAAAATATTAACTGCTGAAAATTGTTCTAATTTGACTTTTATTTTCGTAATCTTCATGCCTTTATTAAATTCAACGTTTAAAGAAATTAATAATTCTTTAGGATGATTTAATATTAGACAATAAAAATTTAATTTAGAATGGAATAAAGTTAAATTTTATATTTTTTTTTTGAACAAATGGTCTAATTCAATCATTTGAATATTTCGTGTTATAATTAGTGGTGTAGTTTTATTATTAGCGTTTAAATAAAAGTTAAACATCTAATTTTTCCTTCTACAAATTATTTATATTAATAAGGTAAAATACATTTACTTAGATAACTTTGTTTTTTTTTAAACAAGTGCTATAGTTTCGTAACTATTGGTTAAATAAAAGATTTTTTTTTGGACAAATTGTATATATCAATAATTTTGAATTATAGCAATACTTCGCATTATACGAAACTTGGAATAATTGAGGAAAAAAATACATACAAAAATAATTACATTATTTAGAATTTATTATAAATAAAATTTAACTTGATATGAAATTTGTAAACCAGACTATAGTAAATCCAAAACTGCTTGAAGCCGCACTATGTGAGGTATTCTTGTACTTCCTTTTTTAATTATTGCTGTTGTTTCAATAATTACTTGTTGAAAACAGTATTGTAAATAAAAACTACAAAAAAAAGTAGAGATTTTGAAAACAGAAAAAAAGTTAAATGGACAAATTGTCTGTTTCAATAGGATAAAATGCATTCGTTTGAATTACTTGGTTTTTTGAATGATTGCTGTCGTTGCACAATTACCAAATCGAAAACAGGATTAGCAAATAACAAACTGGTAAAAAAAAACTGGGAGTTACTAAACGGGATTACGAATGGTAAATAGTTATGGTCCTTGTATGAACCAACAAATCGGCGCTTCGCTCGTTCCCAAATCGATACTCGCGATTATTCCCAACGCCATTGTTTCGACGGCATTTATGAAACATTCCGTGCAGATTGAATTGCCTGTTTACAGCTAACGGTCGGTTGCGTAACGGGCTATATCGATTCGCGGGTCCTGGGGACCTGCAGAAGGACGCAGAGCCATGATCCACCACCTCCACAAAAAAACGCAATGTTTTGTACATAAATAATGTACGTATTTGTGAACGTACGTTAAGCGGACGCAGAGTTAATTGGATTTTCTTCTTTATATACACATTTTATAGAATAATATTTCACATTTTTATATATTTCATAGTGTTTGTATTCTTTAGTTACAATAGGCTTGTTTTTTTTGTTTGTTTTTGTGTTAAAAAATATAAGTGATCCATTATTATTTTCTTAAATGTTAAGTTTGTTAGTTCATTACACCTGTTTTCTGCAATGGCCAGGTCCCTAAGTATATGTTAAATCTTTCCATGTTTTTTTTCCTAAGTTTCCTCAGGAGTTCTTCTTAACCCTGATGTTGGGTATACCCTTTATTTTTTGCTTCAGTCTTTCGGGACACCTCCATACTCTATAGTCCTACTGTCCCACAGCATGGAATAATCATATCTAAATATAAATATTATATAGTAAATAATGTATCAAACTGTAATTAAGAAGTTGCTACAGATTATTGAAAACTGATTCATCTTTACCTTCTACCGCCTAAAAAACGCTATGTTTTTGTTTTATTTGTTATTGTTTTTTCTTTTTTTAGACGAAAATTGTTGGGCGTTGTGTTGTAATCAATTAAGGCAATTGGTTGTGCCCGAGGATGGGGGTCGGCTTATCCACGGGGACACGGTCTAAGTTTTACGCCTTTGTAATTACTTAAAAAGAGTTCGTTCGGTGACGCCGCCCCCGGGGGCACCCTAATTAATTACATTTCCTTACATGGACTCTCTCTCCTTAGAGCTGGATGTTTTCCATCTTCTTAGAGCGCAATTAACAAAATAATTAATTTAATTGGTGTCCCGGCGGCTCTAGCTAAAGATTGCTTAACTCTTTGGCAATTTCATTTTTTTTATTTACTTTGGACCTTCTCATTATTTCCCCCTTTTTTTTCTCTTCGCAAGAGTTCTCCACCTTCGTTGTTATATAAATGTTAATTGTTGGATGGAGAGGGTGAATTGAGCCGTCGGTGGGTGGAGAGGGGTTAATTTGGCTGTGAAAGAGTTCTTTCGAGGTGGAGAAGCCTTATACCTCGAGGGACGAATTAGCGCAGACAACATCGTATTTAATGCCCACCTTCGGAGGCGGCAATAAAGCTTCGCACTAGAGAATAGCGCCCAGATTAATTTAATTCCATTACTTTAATGAGGATACAAAATGCCTGAAATCCTGTTTTGCTAGCAAGGTATAGGCGTAGATATAGAAGGACTAAAGTAAACAAAGTGCGTTTTAGTCCTGTCCAGGACGATCCTTCTCTATCTCCCTCGCACACACGTTCTCTATCTCTATTCCGATAACGGCAACTGTGGGCGCGAGTAATTGCTTCAATCGATAAAACGTTTTGCACTGATTGGAAGGACTACTTTTGTTTTCGTCCTTCGGCGCTCCCCTTCTCTTTTGCGGCGGTCCTGTCACAGGATCAGGCAAGCCGTAAAACCCACCCAACGTTCCTGTGCCCACCTACCCCTTAGACTCACTTGAATTTGTTTTCCTTTAATTTATTACACTACTCAATTACCATTTAACTAACGCTTACATAACTTATTCAGAAACACCCCTGCTGCTGCTACTGTTACTCCTCTGCGCGACACCCTTCCCCGTAAGCCGACGGCTACTTCATTTTCATTCCCATAAGTGCACCTTACGCACCGTTTCGCCCTTTCCCGATACAATTACTTAATTCGATACCGGGTTTTTAACACTCTCCGCTTCAATTACTACCCAATCAATAGTAAGTAAATGCTTTGGAAACATTGCTCATTCTGCCAACACATCCTCTTGCAAAATACATAAGTATTTTTTGTTACATAACACAAACATATACATAAATTTGGGTTTCATACTGTAGTGCGTCTTATACACCGAATTCATATATATTGAAAAGGATAATTAATTTTAATATCTCTTTGATTAAAAAAAATAATTATAACGGAAGTGCGTCTTATACATAGAATTCCTATCACTATTTTTGAAAAGGCATTTCAAACTATGATGCGTCTTATACTCTGAACTAGTCCATACTGAAAAGGAAAACAATGAATTTTAATGTATTGGGTCCTATATACTGTACTTGTTGAAAGCTAAAAATCTGGAGCATTTTATATACTTATACAACAGAAATAAAAAATATTTATTTTATTTAAATGAATTCATAAGTTCACAATTTTATTCTTAAGCTAATTTTAATTGAGTAATTTCTATGATTTTGCATTTTTTTAACAAATTTTTGTTTTTAAATCTTACTTACATAATATGATAATAATCTCAAGTAAAACGAACTAAATTTAATGATTTGTAGTTTTTTTTATCAAAATTTTAGAATTTCAGCTAGATTATGTAAGTGTAAATGAAACTAAATATTTATTGCATTTTTTTCTTTTTGTTTATTTGTAGGTTTTGATGTTTAACCTAACCTATGTTTGGGTATGTAACAAAATGAATCTACTATAATTTTAAGAAATTTATTGTATGTCGTAATTTCAAGAACTTTGTACTTTCATAATTTCATTTCTGAAACCATTATAAGTTATTGAACTTAATTACAAGTTGCTATAGTTCAGTGCTTTTCATCTTTGGTTTTATATAACTTTTGATTACATAAAATTATTGAGCTTGAAATTTTACTATTACATAAAATATTTTATATTTAAACAATTATAATAAATAAGAACATTTTTTTCAATTAAGTTGTCTGTTTATGATTTTATTATTATGAATAAAATTTCATGTTTCTTACTAATATTGGACAGAATATGATATATAGTTTTTATAGTATATAAATATTAATTGGAGGATCTTCAATTAGTCAATATGAATATTCCGTGCTTTGTTACTTGATAAAACTGTACGTTAGTTTAGTTATAATGTACGTATTTGCGAACGTACGTTAATCGGACACTGGATTAATTTGATTTAAGTATCATATTATATAGTAAATAATGTTTCAAACTATAATTAAGAAATAATTTCATTGTTACTTACAAGCAGGAAGAATTTGGAACGTTGTAGCAATATTTGATTCTAAAGTTTTACCAATATCAAGCTTTGTCTTCTCGTGACTACAGATCATTGAAAACTGCTTCATCGGAGGCAAAAGTGTGCCGTAAATTGGGGAATCGATGTGTCCGGAAATCGATGTTAATGCAATAATGACCATAACAGAATGTGAGAGTTTTAGGGAAGTTCGGACAAAATTGCAGAGAGCGGACGTCACTCGGCGCCATAAAGCACTCGCGCCCCCACGTTTCGCACCAGCCATAATATTAAAAAAAATGTATGTGTATATAAATGTACATGTATATATATTTGTGAATGTAACTAAAAAAAAAGGAAAATAAACGGGGGAAAAACAGGAAATGCGAAATTGGATTTGGCCCGTTCTGCGTGGAAATTGAATTCAATAAAAATATAAAACGCCCATTTTAGCAATTTAAATCATCCGCGGCGGAGGGCTCGTGTTGGAGAAAAAAGGGAGAAAAGTAGAGAGAAAGAAGCAAGGGTGGGAAAAGGAGGAGTTGTTTTTTTGGGTAGCAAGTGGGGTGTACCTAAACGAAAGACGAAAAAAAATCTTGTATATATGTGGGGGGACAGGAAACACCCCTTGACACCCCCCGATTTTCCGCGGAAATCGGGGCCTGCGTCAACTCAAACGAACTGTACATAAAACAAATAAAACTCGGCAAAATCTTGTTAAGGCGGATGGCGCACTATACACAATTCGTTTGTCCTCATGATGCCAACTAATTGCGTTAGCCTCAGTCCTTAAGAATTCAAAATCTTCCTGCATGAATCCTTGTTTCCAGACAGATCCACCCCTCAGCACGAAAAGCACGCATCCCTCATATCCATCCTTCTCTCTCCAACTTCCTATATATTTCGACCTCTCTATTTCCATCTCACTTGCTCAAACACATACCCAGTCTGTCTGTATATATTTTTAATCAAATTAATGTGACCGAGCTCTCTAATTCTCACTAATCAAATGCAAATGCCTGACTGCAAATTTGATTTAAATATAAGGGGAGAATAATTTAAACGCTCCCAGCTAGAGCTGCAAATTGAATACGTACACGTTGCACATATGGGATGCATGAGCATCGATATGGAAGTAAAGCAAATCAACCATTCCTTTTTCCTCTCTGCTTACAGTTATTTTGAACGAGGAGCAAGATAGGACGCACGAGGACACACCACTGAGACATGGACCTTCTGCTATCAACATTTCGGCGAAGTCGGCCACCAAACAGAGACGATCCAGGACGAATTTCACATTGGAACAACTAAACGAATTGGAACGCCTTTTCGATGAAACTCATTATCCTGACGCCTTCATGCGAGAGGAGCTTAGCCAAAGACTTGGACTAAGCGAGGCCAGAGTTCAGGTAAAACATTTTTTTTTCTGTAGATATTAATTATAAAATATGGCAACAACTAACAATTTACAAGACAACTTGATAATTGATAATTTACTTAGCAATTTACAGCCAGTCACATTAAGTAAATTTGTTGATTTTATAATTTGTCTTGTTGATAGAAAACTCAACAGTATTTATGTATAATATATTGACTTAGTATAAATATTGACAAATTTGATTCAATTTATGTTGCAATACTAACATCATTGTATGTTAGTACAAATACTTGTAGGTTAGTTCGGTCAGAAGGTATTACATTAAACTATCTATTATTGTAGATATAATATTATATTGTAATTGTGAAGAACTAATTAAGACTTGAGATTATTACTAATTGTTAGTGATAATATTCACATTAGTAAAATCGTGTATTAACAAAATTTAGGATAATGAGTCTTTACATAGATTTAGTATATAAAATACATAGAGCCATTAATAAGAAATATATTCCATCAAAATAAGATTATATAAATAAATAACTAAAAGATTTCATAATAGTACGCAAATCACAATAAAATATTTTGTTGTTGTTTGAAACTAATTGTATAATTAATTATAATTGCATTTAAATTAAATAATTAAATTGATAATTAAGCAAACAAACAAATTATTTGTAATTATACAAATAATTATTATAAGTATTTTTAATGGAAAACCATGCAAATGTATAAATTTACATATAAACTTTATTACAATTTTCATTTTCATTTCAATTATATCTGATTACATAATAATTTTTCATATTTATTTAATTTTACTTAAGAAAACAAATTATGCAGTATTGCTTCATTTGGCGCTTGTGTTCTTAGAAGACAAGTGCAAAATGGAACAGCGTTATATGAAGTTACATTAATATATAGTAAACAGGTATATTTTTTGGGCTTGCATTAAATTGAATCAGCGTTAAACGAAGGCTTCTAATGATGAGTATTCTCTGTATAAATATTGCATAACTTTAACATACAAACGTTGTATTTGTATACAAATTGATGAATGCATTTGAATGGATGCAGAATGTATTTAGATTGGGTGATAAATAGTTAGTGCGCTGATTCAGGTCCAGGTGAGGTGGATGAACATCCAGTTGCAAGTCGATTAGTTTTAAGGGTAGTAAATTGCCGTTTCGTGAATCTCCGTTTGTCTGCAATCGATCAACTGGGACGCGCCATTAATCTGCCACCTAATTGATGCAACTTCTATTCCCTGCACATCATACGTATTCATTAGGAAATTATCTCCTAATAGCGGCAATAGCTTGGCTAAATCGTGTGGAACCGATGTCACAAGTGGAAACACCCTAATCTTAATTCTTTTTATTTACCCTCCTTCTCAGATCGCCGCCGCCGCCGCAGTCTGAAGGGTGGACGGTACAGGTTTATAGACCTAACACAATCCCACTTTTTGTATCAATAGCTATGAAGTTATCTTGAAAATTATATTAAATTTCCCTTATTATTTATATGTATATACTTGTTATTTATATGTATCTCATTGAAAAATAGTATCATCTGATAATTTATATTTACTAATTGAAATTCCACTATTCCCTTTCATTGTGAATCTGCTGCTATCCTTAACATTGTCATTGTCCATCGACTTGACTGAAGGTCCATATGTTGAACCTCATTCATTTTACTGTCCATCTGTGATGAACAATGGTCCTATTGCTGCAAGCACCGAGAGGGCTCACAAAGGGCCTGGCTTGATCAGGATTTGAACCTGCGCCCACAAGTTCGTGGGTAGGGCGACTTAACCATTAACTTACATAATAATTATTTAACAATTTATAAGACAATTAACTTAACAATCTACTAAATTTACTTTGATTTCATGAGGCGAAAGACTTCATGTGTAAACAAATGTACGTTAATCGAACGTTAAACTTCAATATAAAAATAACCATTGACGGTTTAATGGAAATACCATTATATTAGTTCGAACGTAATCGACGTTCATATAAACGTACAATATTTTTTTGATTGTTTGAAATAGTATACATGAGTATATTATATGCATATAACAGTTTATTAAAATCTGACAATAAGAAATAACATTCATTTTTAAATATCTTCATTTATATTTTTGTACATATTTCAATTTTATTTCGGTCAGAAAACTCAATCTTTTTTTAACATATATCAAATACGCAATATGAATACATGTAAATATGTAAATTTGCAAATAGTCATCATTGTACGTTAGTACGGATAATTGTACGTTATTTCGATCAGTACGTATTAAACGCGTGTATGTTTAACAGATGTGAGGACTATCACAAAACTATCTTAGTTTTCTTCTTAAGTAATCAGATTATATATTAGAAATGCTCAAAATAATTATATGATTTATAATATATGTAATAGTTATTTAAATATTAAAAATTTTAATATGATATTTAATGATATACTTTTATGATTTAAATTAAAAGGATATAATAAATTCCAAACGCAAAGTTAAGCAATAATTAAACTATATTTTAAAAATTCAGTTATTCCAAGCTAATTATATTAAAATTTAATTCATTCTAACAATGAATATTTTAAGTGAATCATATAATTTAACTGCAATATTGTTGCCTTTCAGAATGTTACAACTATAACTTTTTATTTATGGGACAATGAAAATATTTATATTTTTTTGTCAATAAATTTTTATTTATATGAAACTATTTCCGTTAAGTAAGATATAATAAAATTTGATTATTTTAATCCAATATGCGATTATAAAATAGCGATTGTTTGCGTCGTAGACAGAATCTTTTTATCTCCATTACGGAATTGGATGAGAGACTTCATCCCGCGTGAAGACTTCGAAACACATGCATTTAAATACTAATCCCGCTAATGCAATTTGGATACTTGTGTACGTTTTTTTCTATTTCTCTCTCTCTTTCACTCTCTGTCTTCCTTCTGCATCCATCCTTTAAGGGTGGAATCTTTTCCAGTTAAATGGATCAATTTGTATTGATAGTGCGATCGACTCTGACGCGTCCCTTAATCCAATATTATAATTGAATTTTATGTCCGACCCTCAGTAACGGTCATTTATACATTTCTTTATGGCCACTCCGGAGCTCGTTTCAGTATGATTTGCAGAATCGGGCTGCATGAATTATGTCCTTCGGTCATAAAAGGGCAAAGCGTGTTTATCCACTAAAAGCATTATGAAGTAATAGTGTTGACCAATTCCAATCCCTGTTTCAGGTCTGGTTCCAAAATCGAAGGGCGAAATGCAGGAAACATGAGAGTCAACTACAGAAAGGTAAGTTTATGTTATATTTGTTTCTTCATCTTCGACTCTGTTTTCATCTCGCTGCGCTCGGATTAATGTAGATTTAAGGGATCGCAGGACGGGCAATCATAAATCCACGTTAGGGCATTAAACTATTTAGAGCAGCCAGTAATTTGTAACAGAAATGATCTTTAAACCTCGACTCGACCCTCATAATTTTAACTGCTATGAATATATCATGTGGCGGCTCCTCGGTACCGCCGACCCTTCGTCCCTCCACTCCCCTGCAAATCTGCGGTGAATAATCGAGTTTATATACTGGTGTAGAAGAAGAAGATGGAGGAGGAGGAGAAAAAAACGCAAGCGGCGAAGGGCGGACCCGGGGATGAGGTGGTGGAAGAAGTAGAAGGAAGAAGAAGAAAAAAAAAGTTTTCAATCAAATCAAATAATTCCCCACGAGAGCAATTTTACGGAGCTCAGTCATTCAAATGTACGGGTGTACAAGATGACTGGTCCAAGTCTACATGGGCTCCTGGGGGCACTAAATTACACTTAGTGCCTTACACTCACATCAACACTGGGAATGCTAACCCTCCCGACCCCACACCGAAGCCACTGTCCGCATCCGTTCCTCGTTTTTTGGGCAAATTACATTTGCAAAACAGGGGGTTTACACCGCGCCGAACTACCCTTTAACATATTGCTGCCCATTAAATTATTATGTCATCGTCCACCTAACATCCCATGATGCAACGGGAATTGCAAGCTCGGCCAGTTAAATCTGTTTCAATTAAAACGATTACTACGATTTATTTTTTATATATATATGTACAATCTGATGGAAATATAAAAGACTTAAGCAATAAACTTCACCCTCAGCACATGCGAATTAACTGCGCACAATGAATTTCAAATGGGTACGATAATCCTGAAGTCCTTTAAAATAACATAAAAATCCAGTTTCGTAATTGCAAATTAATTTTGTTATCAGCATTTTTTTAGAATTCTAAATTTAAATTATATTTACGAATAGGACACTCAATAATATCACAATATTATTATTTAAAAACCTGTTCTACAGAACATTAAGCAAATCAGTTCGATGTAGATATTAGAAACTTGCTGCCAAGTGAATGCATTCCTTGACGTTAGTATATAATATTATATTTAGTCAAATCTAGAAGGCTTTGCTTCAATCTTCTTGTTGTCACGTTCTTGTGCAAAAGGTTGTCTTATACATGAGAATCAAGTCTCTTCTTGAAAAAGTCTCCGTCTGTCTTTATTCCAAAGTAATGGTGAAGTCATATGAAACAATCACCTAAGGTTAGAATATTTATTTATGAAAATAATAACAAACACAAGGAAATACGTATGGAAATAGATATAATCTAAGATATAATAAAATGCTAGACACACATCTTAGCAATAAATCAAGTTGACAACAGCTTATCAAACAAACGACTTCAAAGCACTTCAGTTACCTTTAAGATATGATCAACGTTACCTTCGAATACATTATTATGGGGACTTTCCAACCATTGTCAACTGTTCTTTACTGAAAACTGACCCAAAAAAATAGGATAAAGCTTATATTTGATTATTTATGCAATTAATAACAATAAAATATTTTGAGTATATTTTGGTATAAAATTATAGAAAATAATACTTAAAGAATATTTTCATTATTATAATTCGTAAGAAGGAAAATTCTAATATTTTTTTAGATGTATTGATCATTAAATAATATTTTGCTTTCGTATAATACGGATTCGTAACAAAACGTTTTGGATATTATGTAACCTATAATAGATTATGTAGTTTTTTTTATAGAATTTTGGTATAATTACAGCGTGTACATGTGAAATAATTACATAGAAACTGCACAACTGTATGATGTGACAAAATTTAGATACATGTTGATAATCCGATTAACACGATTTTCGTATTGATTTAATCCAATCCAAGTAATTAAGGTATGAATGTTGTTTTTGTATGTCCTGTTCAGGTATGATGATGAATAATCACAGTCCTCCGACGAGCACCCCTTTGGAACCCTGCAGGGTTGTACCATACATGAGTGTACCTGCGCTCCGAGGATTATCCTTGCCAAGCAGCGCTGTTGCATTATCAGCTTACGATCGTTTAACACTAGGGACCTTTCCACAACCCGCCACCCCATTCTCAGCATTCGATTCGGCTTTCATCTCAGCAGCACACCAAGTAAGTATATTAATTAAATATACAATACTATATACCAGAAGAAAAAAACAAGTTTTCATAGTTATTTTTGATATTTTCTTGCAAATACATATGTCTATTATATATTTACCGATTTTCATAACTATTATTTAAATCCACACATGTAACTAGGTTCATTTGAAAGGTCATATTTTTTATATTATTTTTATATTTGATCAACTAATTAGCGTACGTAGTTAATTAAAGTAGTAATTAAAGTAAATATGAACACGAGAATAATAAATTAAAAAACTGGTTGTTGATTAATGTTAGGTAATTGTAGTTATGTCCCAATATAGGAGTTTCATTAGATTTAATTATTGCAGATTATGTTTTTGACTTATACCAAAAATGTAAGCAATACTTCATCAAGCATTAACCTTATCTTTATTGATATGTTGAAAGTCTTTTAATGAGTGTAAAGGATTAAGCAAAGGATTATCACAATACTCATTGACGTTTTTTTTTTGTTTATTTGCTGTTTTTGTTCCAGTATGCGGCGGCAGCAGTATCAGTTGGCAGCGGGTCTGCAGCAAGTATCCTCTGCCATCCCCAATATCCTTTAGGCTTTGCGGCTTTGGCAGCAGCCCATAAGAACTCGAGCATCGCAGATCTACGGCTGAAGGCCAGGAAGCACGCCGAGGCACTAGGCTTAGCTCCAAAGGAGAAGACCACTTAATTCAATCGTCGACTGTTCGTTTCCTTTGTTTATTCAAAAATGAAAGAAAAAAAACAAGAAGTCACGTATGCAAAGCGTATTTCTCCAAAAAAAAAAACCTAAAATTAGGAAGCAAAAAAATAATATAATAATTAATAAAAAAAAAATATATAAAAAAAATATTATAAATAAATAGCAATTCCTTTGGTATGTGTATATAAAGAATTTGTTTTTCGCTAGAGTAACAACATGCTTGTCGTCATGGTGGAGATGTTCTTTTATGTTCTTTTTTTTTTGTTTGTTGTTGAGTTTTATTCTTTACGAGACGGACATTTGATGTATTCATGTTAATATATTTATATTTATTAAGGATGAAGGAAAAATTATACAAAACGATAATATGTGAAGTATGTAAAGGATGTGTAAATAAAGTGAAAATGCCGTAGAGGAACAGATTATAAGATACTAATCCAGTTTTTGGGGCCTCCTTTTGATGTTGATGTTAATAGGGAGCGGCGTAGATTTTGGTTTCGAGATGATATTGGATCAAACCTAGGCTGTCAGTAACAATTACCGACTGTTCTCTCGCTGATTGGACATAATTAGATTAGTGGCTACATACTAGCTGTACAAACAAGGGTCAGCAGTGTACAGCGCGTCACAATCAAGGTTCTTCTCCCTCTCCCTGGAACCACCCTTGCCGCTGCGGATACTACATTTTTTTAGCTTCCCCGTTGCGCCCTGCAATAAATTTCACGAATCACATTTTTATTTGATTCAATTACTCCGATTCCCGGGCGCTATCTTATTATTTATTCAAACACGATCCAATGAATCACCAATTAACGAAACAAAGTTTTAATCTCATATATTTAACGATTTAAATCCACACAGTACAAAGTGTATTCAATTATGTCGCCGCTCTATGCAAATTACACGGTACGTATTTATTTTGTACATAGTTCATATGCATTATTTTTATTTAAATTCCTGTATATTTATTCATTTTACTTTATAACTTTTTATTTAATTTTATTATTTTGATTAGTAAATTTAATCAAATTTATATTATTAATTTTCAAACAATTTACATTTTATATAATTTCAGTCAACTTTCAAATGAATAGTTCTTCTAACCAAATATATTTATTTGCTCTTTTTCTGTAATTTTAACAATTTTGTAATTAATTGAAATAGAGATTAATTTACCAATTTATTATTGCTGTAGAGAAGTTTATTAATTTGAAAAAAAGTAAATTATTATTACAATATTTTTTACAGTTAGTTTTTTTTGTTGTTTAAATAAATAATTATGATTAAAATGTAAACATATCCGTATATACAAATCATTCGTATTGTGACTTCTTCTTTCTACACAATCTGAATTAAATGGTGTAGTCGATGATGTAATTATCTTGAAGAGATGTCGAGAAATTCACGAAAATCGGAAAAAACGTCTTTTCCCTGTTACGTAACGAACATTACATAACTTTTGTTTCAACAAAGTTGCGTAAGGGTTGCGCCCATCTTACGCAATCATAAAACGCAACAAAAGTTTATTGGTTTTCGAGCTATTAACGAAAATCGATTTTTAAGTAAATTCTATTCTCTTTATTTCTAATTTCTGCAACTCTTAGCAACGACAGCACGAAGATGCTAATAGGCTTGCTGAAAAAGTGAGGTATTCAGCTTTCAAATATGTAGTCGATCATGTAATTATCTCAAGGGGTTGTCGAGAAATTCAAGAAAAACTGAAAAAACGTCTATTCCCTATTACGTAACGAACATTACATAACTTTTTTTTCAACAAAGTTGCGTAAGGGTTACGCCCATCTTACGCAATTATGAAATGCAATAAAAGTTTATTGGTTTTCGAGTTATTAACGTAAATAGATTTTGGAAAGGTGAGGTATTCAGCTTTCAAATATGTTGTCGATCCTGTAATTATCTTAAGGGGTTGTCGAGAAATGCACCAAAAACTTAAAGAATTTTTTTTTTTCTATCAAAGCACGAAGATGCCAGCTGAATACCTCACCTTTTTTAACGAACCTAAGAAAAGGTGAGGTATTCAGCTTTAAAATTGAATTGAGAATTAAATTAAAATGCTTAATTTTTATAACTTATACTAGATGTACTGACGAAACCACATTGCCGGAAGTTAGCTCATTGGAAAGGTTGTAGTTTTGTCTTTAATTTGTATATTTGATGGTTTAATTAGCAATAGTGGTATTCGATTAATTAAAAAAAACGTGAAAGTGTTGCAGCAAATTGAAAAAAATTTTAATTTACATTTTTAAAGCATAATTCTTTCGCTTTCATTTGCTATTAGATACGTTAGTTTTGGTCAATTAATAAGAAAGTTATTAAGCTTTAATCAGTTGGCGGTTTTCGCGAATCAAAACGCAAAACGCCCCCCGAAAATGATTATCGAAAATGCCAGTAAATTGGGATTTGCACCAGGAGACTAGCAGTGCGAGGAGGTCGTTAATGATTGTTTGAAATTTGAATTTTACGTTTGCGTGAGTGAGCAAACTGTTATTGTTACTGTCGCAAATTAAATTTAAAGGTATTTATTGGATTTCCTATTTATTCTACATTGTTCTGAACGCAAACTTAATGAACAAGATACTCCATTGCTTCCTTCTTCTATTTCCATATATGTAAAACTTTTCTCTGAACTTCACATTTCACTTCGGGTAAGTACCAATTGAACATGTAAACAACCATCAATCACTAAAATTACTTGTCTTCAGAAAATATACAACAGGAACTGCAGCTAACTAGGGACAATTAGTAAAATCTTTTACGTAAAACAGTGTCTACATTTAAGAATATGCATAAATTGTTAATAGTCATAAGGTAAGTAGTCAATATTCATTGATTCAATTGTTGTTATTTTAGGTGCAGCTGATAGCAACATGCCGCGTATAGTTGATGACCTTAAGTTCCCCAGAAAGTGGAAAGCATTCTTTACTAGCAGTTTGCAAAAAGTGGAAACCTTAACTGCTGAATGTGACTAAAAATATTACTTCATTAACAAGATGGATAACAACTATGAACCCTGAAACACCCATGATTCTATTGTTGCTTCCAACGTGATCCTTAGAGATTGGATAACATTCCTGAATGCTAGATACATTGAAAATACTGGAACAACAAAAATGTCAATGTTCATCAAATTTACAGAAAGAGAATAAAAGTATAACTATCAATCTATATTTTCATTTATTTTAATCTCTGTATATTTTAGATCAACATTCATGTTCAACATTCTTCTAGAAGCAAGTGCTTACGAAAATACAGGCCATTTTCAAAAACGTTTTTATCCATACTGTTTAATACCAAAGTTTGATCATTAATTATGACCACGTTGTGGCAGCTACAAACCTGTATTTATACTCATTCTAATCTCTGTATATTTAGGATCAATATTAGTATACAAAATTCTTCTGAGAGTTGATTTATTCGAGAATACAGGCCATTTTTAAAGACGTTATTTTCCCAACTCATTTGTGAAATACCAAAGTTTGTTAATCAATTATAAGGACACCATTGCAGCTACAAATTAGTATTTGTGCTTGTTTTGATCCGTGTATATTCAAGATCAACATCCATTTATAACATTCTTCTGGGAGCTCATTTTTATGAAAATACAAGCGATTATCTAAGACTTTGTTTTCCTACTTGTTCATTAAATTTTATATGTATGTTTGGTTGCAGATTGATTCCTGAATATCCCAAAAGATGTCTCTGCTTGTCTAAATTAAAACGCATAAAACTCAATAAGTAATTAGCATTTAAATTATTGTACTGATGTAATAACATAAGATACATTCAAGCACTATTCTGATATGTTTGTTTATTAAAATTAGTATGTTTTTAAGGAAGTGGATTTTGTACAGCGCCAAAATGCCTGTACTACAAACTTTCAAAAATTGCGAACAGATGGCGCCAGTTGTTCCCAAAAACTGAAAATATATTTTACGCCTAAAGTGCTGACAACCAAACATACACTTTGAAGAACAAGTAAGAAAACAAGGACTTAGATAATGATCTGTATTTTCGTAAACTTATGCTCCCAGACGAATGTTATACATGGTGATCTTGAATATACACAGATTAAAATTAGCGTTAATATTAATTTGTAGCTGCAATGGTATCTTCATAATTGATTAACAAACTTTGGCATTTCATAAATGAGTTGGGAATTGATTGGATTGATATTTATACTTTTATTCTCTTTCTGTGAATTTGATGAACATTAACATTTTTGTTATTCCAGTATTTTCAATGTATCTAGCATTCAGAAATGTTATCCAATCTCTAAGGATCATGTAGGAAGCAACAATAGGATCATGGGTGCTTCAGGGTTCATAATTATTATCCATCTTCTTGATGAAGTAATATTTTTGGTCATATTCAGCAGTTAAGGTTTCCACTATTTGCAAATGAAAATTGCTAGTAAAGAATGCTTTCCACTTTCTGGGGAACTTAAGATCATTAACTATTTGAGGCATGTTGTTATCTGCTCCACCTAAAATAACATCAATTGAACCAATGATTGTTGACTACTCACCTTATGACTAATAACAATTAATGCATATTCTTATATGAGGATACTGTTTTACGTAAAAGATTTGAATCCCTAGTTAGTTGCAGTTCCTGGTGTATGTTTTCTGAAGACAAAGAACTTTAGTGATTGATGGTTGTTTACATGTTCAATTGGTACTTACCCGAAGTGAAATGTGAAGCTCAGAAAAAGGTTTTCCATATATTGTTCATTAAGTTTGTATTCAGAACAATGTAGAATAAACATGAAACCCAATAAATACCTTTAAATTTAACTAACAATAACAGTTCGATCACTCACGTTAAACGTAAAATTCAATAATTCAAATTTCAACCAATCAGGAACGACCGATGCCAGAAGCTCAGATACCTCCTCGCACTCCTAGTCTCTTGGTGCAAATCCCAATTTACTGGCATTTTCGATAATCACTTTCGGGGGGGCGTTTTAATTCGCGTAAACCGCCGACTCAAATCTTAATAACTTTCTTATTAATTGACCAAAACCAACGTATTTTATAGCAAATTAAAGGGAAAGAATTATGCTTTAAAATTGTAAATTAAAATTATCTAATATATCAGAATATAACCATTTATTGAACTACTTTTTCAATTTGCTGCAATACTTTTACGTTTTTTTAAATTAATTGATTACCACTCGTGATAATTAAACAATCTAATACACAAATTAAAGCCAAAACTACAGGAAAGGTTGTAGTTTAGTAGTTTTTGAGCTAACTGTCGGCATTTTGGTTTCTGTACATCTACTATAAGTTATCAAAATCAAGCATTTTAATGTAATTCTTAATCCAAATAATTAACCTATCACCTAACCTAATGAAAAATAGCACCACAATATTATTTAGCACCTGACGAATCGATTAACTCAAATTTTATAATTGATGCAATAGGAATAATGATGCTCTTTAAATGTCGGTCGGCCGATCTCTGCTATAATAAATCATTGTAGTAAATATATTATGAGAATGGTACCTTTATATAAATAATTACATTATCTTTATTTAATTATATGTTAAATACATAACACACAAACATCATAGCTTCATCCCCGTTGGATCAATAACCAAGAGCTATGTAAAACAATCACATATAATATTCAATTATATTCTTTTTAAATAACATCCACAATCACACCTAATCAATAATACCTAATTAAAAAGATCACATTTCTTTGGTTAAAAATAATTAAAAAAATATTCATTTGAAAACTCGTCAGATATCAACGAAACAGCGATTTTTAAGAAAATCCTATTCACTTTTTTTAACTCACAATTAAATTGCGACTGGGTAATTTTAGATCCATTCTATCTATTATAGCCATTAAGTTTTTGGTATAATAATTTAAAAAAAACACAGTTTGGTTACTCCTGATCTATATAACATTTTATAACTATCGTACACAATTTTTACATTTAATTTAATTAGAATTTGTAAAAACAATCAACAAAAACTTAATACTACAATAATATTTGCAAAATTTAAACTATTATAGAAAGGTACAAGCATCATTTGTCAAATAAAATTGATACATTTATAGTTTAAATTAGCAAAAACAACGTATGTGTAAACAAATTTATGAGCGCAGACGCGTCTAATAAAATATTGATTACTTAAAATATGTATGTTCATGTTATGCCACCAAATACTCATATAGGATTTTCGAGTATTTTATGTTTTGATCATAAATTTAAAGAAATAAAGTACATTAATGAAGAATATATATTTTTGTTTAGTTTGAACAGAAAAAATATAAAGGTGATCACAATTTGGTTCCTTCTCAATGATTGGTATGAGGTTGTTGTACTCTGAGAAAGTTTGCAAAACATCTGGAAACCGGTGGTGATTTTGTTTTTTTTAGTCTGTCCAATTAGATCGATCGCCTGAAAACGAAATAAATATTATATTCCATTGAATACGAAGAGACAGACAATGCGAATTCATCTAAAGTTCATTTTTTCATTACTTCTTATTTTAACATGAAACTATAGCAACAATTGAATACATGTTGCATTCCCCAATTATCCAGCATCTTTTGAATCCATTGTATCTATTATATTTTTTGAGAAAATTACTGAAATTTGAAGACTCACAAATATGATTTCCAGAGTTAATTTTTCATTACTCCATTTTAGAACGCGAATTACAGCCAAATGAATGAAACCACAGCAACAATTGATTCTATCTATTAATTACTATTATTTACATTTTTTTAAATAAAAAGATACGAAATTACATGCACATTTATAATATAACAATTCTACATTAAGTAATTAGTATAATGAGATTTATCTTCAATATTTTATTTTAACATCCTATTTCGTTTCATAATACTCTGGAAATAAAAAATTAAATTACTTTATCCTTGACTTTAAGAATGACCACATTTGTGGCTTTTACTCCAATTTCAATATATTTTTTTATGAGTAATGTTGGATTAAGTGAAAAACAATTATGCACTACAATGAACTTCTTTATTGACATATCTCTTAACTTCACAGTTACAAGAAACTTAGGCAATTAGTCCAGTAATATAATAGATATCATTTAAAAAGTAGTAAAATTAAAAAATCGTAGATATAAAAACAAAAACAATAGTTTCGAGATTGGGCTTAATGTAGTAGATACAATAGCACGTGAGGATAGTAAATAATAAGATTTTTTTTAAAAGGTATAAACAATTATAAGAATATATAAAATCATATAAAGTAATATACAATATACGTAAATGGTATCATAGATATCCAAAAAAGATTTACAGAATGGATTGGATAATGACAGCTCTGGGAAGTTTGGCGTCTATACACACTTATTCATAGAAAGAACATGCCAGGTGGACGGATACTAGTCTATAATATCAAGCGCACACATCGTTCTCTAATACAGTCGATTTCGCTTAATCCCGATTAAGCGGTTGTCCATTTCCATTTGTTATTTGCTCGGTTTTGTTTCCGTTCTTTAGAATTTGTCCCAAATAAGCGGAGTCGACTGTATTTTTGTTTATACCAGAACCGGAATCATAATTTCAACATAAAATATCTAGCAGTTTGATGATATAAAATACCAGGGTTTAATGTACCTGTGTAATTGGACACCAAACTTGAGCAAAGAGGGACCACATTAATATGAGGCTATACAATATCCTTAAAATTACATTAAATTGGTCCAGAGGTTCACAAAAGGGTTCTAGAGTGGGTGTGGGCATATATATATAAATATATATTTACATATATCATAGTATATGTATATATATATTATTAGACTTTCATTCATAAAGGTAAAATAAATATCTAATCCTATACATTTATTTTATAAATATTTCTACACTGCGCGTTATTTAATTTACGAGCAGGCATTTATACATTTAACTACACTTAATAAATATATATACACACACACAGGTAAAAATATATATAGTATATATAAGTATAATCATATATTATATATATATATTTATATCCTTAGTGGGTCACAAAGATGTACCAGTCTTTCTATAAAGCTACTAAAAGCGTAATTATGTATTATTATTATTATATAAGTTTTACTTTGTTATAGATATATAACACTTATTATATTGTAATCTATTACGTGACATTAATATAACTTTTAATTTATATATATGTTAATACGATAATAATAATTATTATATTGTTAAAAACAGGTATAGATAGATAATACCCATAACATTTTCAATCTTTTTGAGCCACCCTATATATGTATATATAAATATAAATGTTAATACAATTTGGTTATTCTCGAATAAAAATTATCAATCTACTTTACGAATTTCGGTGCAGTAAATTTCTTTTTTTTAATACAGACGAATCAGTACAATCATCGCAATAAAATAGGCAAATGTTTAAAAAAAAAACAATATATATATATACAATCAGATAATAAATGCGAATAATTATAAATGAAATTTAAAAATAATAATTAAAAGAAAAAAAGAAGATTGATCTCTCTTTTGCATATCGTTTTTATTTACTTATGGAACTTCAGTACTTCCATTGGTATAAGATGAGATTCTGCAATTAAAAAATGTTCATGAGTAAAGCAATTCCAGGAAACAAAAATAAAGCGTTTGAACAGAGTACACGGATGCCGTGTGTTTGAAGAGATTTAAAAACAAAACAATAAAAACATCCACATGTTGCTTGATTCACGTCGAAGTCAATGCGAACATAAGCGAGGAGGAACATTACATTTTGTCCAAGGGAAGGGACACTATACTAAATCCAACCATCACATAAACCACAAATCATATATATATATAAAAAACAAAGTAAAAAAATATATATATTATAAAATATAAACTAAATATAATAAATTGAATGTTAAATTAAGAGAAAAGTACACACAAGCATTGGTTTATGTAATAACTGAACTGCTTACGTTCTCTAAATCTGAATCGAATATGTTTCAAACATTCGATTTGTTTAGAATTGGAGAATGTCTAGCTCTAATGTTCGAAATATGCTTCAGCAGCATTTGCAAATGAACTAAATCTACATCAGTCTAATAGACAACTATGTGATGCTAACCACTCGCACCGACAGTTTGGTCAGGTGGAAAACAGTAATCCGGTACAAAAAGTAAAAAAATAATAATAATAAGATAATTTAAGGAGACGGAAAATGAAATATACTTTGCCTTCAAGGAATGTGCGAGAGCGTCGGTGCGGAGCGACTCCCAAAGCTGTAGTATATTGCATTATCCACCTTAGTAAAGGAGGTGTAAAGTATTCAATAAATTAATCACATTTATATGTATTTACACTAAGCGTTTGTTTTTTTCTGTTTTCGTTTGTTTTGTGCATAATTTCAAGCAACTGTGAGTTCTTGTGGCCCAACTGACTCCATACCTTCATGGGGTACACGAACGTTCTCGCTGCTCACGGATCCATTGAGTGCCCCGTTTGCAGCTACGAAAATGTCAGGACCTCCATCCGGTGGGGTGCACAATGTCTGCATGGCCAAGTGTAGTTTAACGTACTCCTCCAAAGAATTCCAGATGCCGGGCCTCCTGTTATGGAACAGCTTCACGTACATGTAAATATCAATGTGATTATCGAACATGAGCTGCTTTCTCATGGTGCTGAGGCTGCAGAAGATACCAGCTTCAGATCCACCGAATCTAAGAACAATGAAAATAAAAAGATTTAGTTTATTTTGGTTGTAGATGTAATTTGCGTATCATACCTATCCACAATAACGACAGGTCCATTCTGGCTTTTAACATCTTGAACGACGTACGGCAATTGGAAAAATTCGGCAATGTTCGGTAGCGAATTCGGCCAATTTGTGCAGTGAATCATTTTAACCTGTAACTCGTAATCATCTTGAAGGGATTGCATTGTGAATTCTCTGGTAACGTAATTGGTTTGTGCTTCCTCTTTGGCCAGTTTCACTTTGTAGTTCTCAGCGTCAATACTTTCATGTTCGGTGGGCCAAAATACTTCGAAGTCCTTTAAAATGAAGTAGCAAATTGTATCGGGTTCAAATTTTATGTGATATTTATTACCTGATTATCGACGATACTTAGCATTACAATTGTTTGCACGTTGTGGTCCCAAGCCATCTGCCAAAAGTCCTTAACTGTATTCCTCATGGGGTGTTGGGTAATAATGAACTCTCTGAGGCTGCTGAATCCTTGCATCCACGTGGCATTTATGTAATCGGAGCCGTCTTCGCCGGGTTTCGGAGTGAGATGTACGCGGGAGCTTTCCACTGGTACTATATCCATTCTGCGGTTCTTTGGTTGGTTGATCACTTTATTAGCAGATACCAGATTGAATTCCTTGCATTGGAAGCTTGTAGCCATCTACACAAAAAAAAAACTTTAAAGAAAAAAATTCTTGTACGAGATTATGAACATACCTTGAATTGGTAGTCCAACGATTTCCATTGTGTACTTCCATCTTCCAAACTCTCATCTTGCATTATAGCTACGTACCGCGGAAACTGCTCTCTGCTAATGTTGGTCTCTCCCGATTCGATAGCTTCGAGCAGAGCGTCGTGTATGAAAATGTATTGTTCTTCCGTTTGCACCAGGAAATTGCGTTGTGTACGGATGTGAGTGAGAAAGCCGAATATGTTTACTTCGTTTCTTTTACGAATCTGTCGAAGCATTGCATCAATTACAATGTAGGTTCCGGTTCTTCCAACGCCAGCACTGTAAAGATTTGTAAAAAAATCATTGCTTGTATCAATCTATACCAATTGATTCGTACCTGCAATGTACGATGATTGGACCGGCATCTGGTGGATTAGCAGCAGAAGACTTCTTAACAAAGTGAAGAACTGGTAGAGGATGATCAGGGGTACCATGATCAGGCCAACTGGTGTAATGGTACTGGTAGACCAGCTTCTCAGCCATGGTAGCTTTCTTCTTCTTAATCTAATAAGATCTTAAATTGTAATTCAACCCTTCAAACTTCTTCAATCACTTACTCTTAAATGCCTGATTTGCAAGGTGCGAACAGTGTACGTCGACATGACATCCTCTTTGACTAGCTTAACTTGGATAACTCCGTAGGTTTCAGTTCCTTCTTTTGGCCAATACATATCACATTTCCGCTGAAATAAAGAAAATCAAAGGAAGAATTAGAAGGTAGTCTATATGAATTTCTGTGAACATCAATAGAATTTTAAGGTAACCAAAGAGAACCAAATACATTTATATAAAAAAGGATGGGTGATAATATGAAATTCAGACTTTAAGTACCTCTATATCATCATCGCTGTGATGTATATTTACTGTTTCCTAGTAACAAATGAATAACAGTATGTTATGTAAAAATGATCTGACGATAAAGTGAAATAGAAAAAAACTCGAACTTAGTAGCTTACCCTTCCTCTCTCAACTAAATTTGTTATCATGACAATAATATTCACGCGTTGTTCCCACACCATCCTCCAGAAACAGTCGAATGTTGATGGCAACGGTCCCTGGGTGCCAATGTACGCCTTCGACCATTGGAATCCATCAATGTAATTTGCGTTTATGTAATCGCTCCTCTTCTGTCCAGGCATCTGAAGTAACTGCACTCTACTATGATCATCTAAAAATAAACGAATTGTAACAAAATATCTATTATGGAATTCTAAAACCCAACAACCCTTAATAGAGAGCTACAATCAAAAACATTAATAATATTAGTAAAAGAGCTTAGCTATTAAATAGATAGTGTCGCGTGCAATTACTTTATTTTTAACGTGACAAGTTTACTTTGTTACAATCTATATGAGTATGACTTACAAGCAATGATGTTCAAGTATCGATTTTTGCATTTGTTGTCTACCATCTGGGAGTTAACTGAAGCATGTTCTTCATTGTTTGCTCCAGCTTGGATAGCTTCATACTCTTTGCTGAAACCTATATCTCCATCGGCATGTAACTCAGCAACATGTTTGCTGAACATGTGGACTTGAACAGCACCTTTGTGTTCACTGCCAGTCTCTGGTGTTGCATTCCAATCTAAACTAGCTGTTGGCACAGAGCAAGGTGGGTCATCCAAGTAGTAGTATGTATCATGAAAGCACTTTCTGCAAATAACAAAAATCCAAAAACAATTATATTTAATAACTGTGAAAATGGGAATTAATTACCTCCAAACAATGAATGAAATAATAGCAAATATAAAAGCAACAACTGCACAGACAACTCCAGATATCATCCCAGCACTCAACTGACTATGAGTATGTCTCACATAAGGTTGTATTTTGTCGCAATCAAATTGAATGTTTACATATTTTGGAAGCGAAATCTTTCCCTCTATATATTTAGCAGAGTATATACTGCGTGTCGAAGCGCTGATCATCAATTTATATCGAGTATTCGTAGACACATTTCTTATAGAATACTGAAAGCAAAGAAATTATTTATGAAAATTTATTAAAAAAAAAGCATATATATTCTTACCGAAGTATCTAAGTGTTCTGTGGATGTGGTCAGTTGAATATTATCTGTATATGAACCTCCTTGTACATAGATATTATATAAATCTAATGAATTATAATAGACAGTTGGTCTTTGCCACTTCACATATATAGTCTCAGAATTCTCACAAGTCAGATTCAATATCTTCGGGGCACTGGGACCACCAATATCAGTCTTATTGATAACTGATTTAGATTGCACACCCTCATTTTTCGCAGTGGATGCCTGAACTAAGATCATATACTCTGTGTATGGTTCTGTAAGTAGTCTTGTATTAGTATTTATTATATTATAAAAAATAACAATGAACTTACTTAAATCTGTTAGATTGTATTGTAAACTACTATTCGGATCTAAGGATGTAATCGATTGAACACTTGTTATGTTCCTTGAGTTGTAGTAGATGCGGTATCCAGTGATTGGACCATTCTTCTTCTCGGGTTCACTCCATGCTAGATATATGCTCTCCGATGTAATGTTCAGTACAGTGAGATTCAGTGGTTCACTTGGAACTGAAACAATAACAATGAAATGAAAATGAATGCAATTGAATGTGGGATGCATGGGAATAGTAATTAGACTCATTGATCCATTCAGTTTATTTATTTTGTTGTTGTTTTTTTTATGATGATTAAATACCTTCTTCTTGAATGATTTGTGTAGTGGTGTTGTTTTCTATTTGAGTATATTCAGTGGTAGTTATTGTTTCTTTTTCGAGCTGACTGTAAGCCAGGGCGCAAATGGCAAGCAGCACGAAAACAACGTTAACCATCCTGATGAAGGGATGATCAAAATGATGGTGCGTTTCACGGGGGTATCACTAGATCACGATGGATGTAAGCGGTTTTCTTATAACACTCATGTTTCTTCCTGCACATACTTTCGCGGATCACGAAGGGCGTAAACGCGACGTCGCAGCCAGCCCCACTGTGCGCATTTTCCAAGGGTCACACTCTTATGCTCTCACCACTTCGCACTTTTTGTTCGTTACCGTTGATGTCTAGTATCAATGGGGATGGGCAAGGATAGACCACGATCTCACGTCGATCTGCTGTACCAGCACCTTCCAAAACACCACCCAGACAGAGTAATTAACTGTCATGCAGCAGTAAAATTTCAGAGACCGACTGGGGCGGCAAGGGGTGTAAGTGAGGAGTGTTTGTGAGTAGAGTAGAGAGCGGGACTGCAGCCCGAGCCGGCGCAGTTTGCACCGTTGCTGCTTGCTGCCGCTAATGCTACTGTTACCGCTACCGCCGGCCAGCTACACAAACTACTCTTCACTTCTCATCCACTCATACTTGCTCATGCTCGGCCCAACTGGATTCGATCAGTTTGACCATTCCCCAACTGTGGTTTTGTCTGCCAGCTTCGCACTAAACCAGACTAAACCCTTTTATCCTTCATGACCACCGCACTGGGACGCGTCGAGCAACCGGTGACACCAAACCAGAAGACTGCTTTAAATGAATGTAGCATCTTTGTGCGAATACACAATGTAATTGTTCCATGTCTTCGGGATCATCGCGAGAACGGATCTACAGATATACTGAGATATATACTAACGGCATTTTAAAGAATATTCAGTTTACAGTTCATCCCTTCAACGACTGTTGCTATGGCTATATTCCTCATTGTTTTTTTTTGTATTATTCTTATTTAGATCAACGGCTTCTTAAAGAATAAACATTTTACAGTTCATCCCTTTAACTGCTGTTGCTATGGACACGCTTAACATTGTTTTATAAGCGACACAACCGCAATAATTTAATGAAAATTAGCAATCTGAATGTAAAATCCCACACAATTTTAATGAATTCAATCAACCATTATTTCTACTTATCTCTAATAATAATAATCATCATTTCAAGGTCGTTTCTTCTTTTCTATCAACTTGTATAGACTATATCTAATGCGTTCCAAATTAAGATTTATGTTAATTATTTGGTAATTTTAAAAATAAGATAACAAAAATTGTATATATATATACATGAATCATTAGCATCATTACCAAAATAAGATATAATATATTTGTGGTTTAATTTTAGAAAAAAAATATTAATATGATTCACATATTTTAAATATATGCATTCACAAAGACTTATTGCATTTTCCATCAAGTTTTATGTAGGCTAATTACTTATGTCTAATACGTTTTAAATTAATGTTTTTATAGGAATTATTTATTGGTATTCAAATATAATCGATAGTAATGTGAGATCATTTAAAATAATGAAAGGTTTAAATGTATATGACATAGAAAATACTGCAGCTAGTAATTAGAATGATCTAAATTTGTTATTTTTTTTAATTTTGTGAAACATTTGTAACAATGTTATATAAACATTATTATTAATCTTATTGTATAACTTAGAGATAATAATTTTATAATAATATTGATTGATCAAATTATACAAGCAGATATAAAAATAAAATTTTTGATTTCAGTCCACATTATCCGCATTGTGTGAGGTAATGATTATAAACATATATAATTAAAAAAAATAGTGAGACACAATTGTAACACTAAGAAACTACATTTTAATTGAACAAAGTAAAATTAAGTTAATTTTTGTATGTATTTATTTTCGTGATTCAAACAGTGCGCATTATCCGCATTGTGCGAGGTAATGATTATAATCAAAAATAATTAAAAAAATAGCGAGACACAATTGTAACACTAAGAAACTAAATTTTAATTGAACAAAGTAAAAATAAGTTAATTTTTGTATGTAGCTATTTTCTTGATTCAAACAGTCCGCATTATCCGCATTGTGCGAGGTAATAATTATAATCAAATATAATTAAAAAAAATAGTGAGACACAATTGTAACACTAAGAAACTAAATTTTAATTGAACAAAGTAAAAATAAGTAAATTTTTGTATGTAGTTATTTTCTTGATTCAAACAGTCCGCATTATCCGCATTGTGCGAGGTAATGACTATAATCAAATATAATTAAAAAAAAAAAGAGATACACTTATAACATTAACAATATGTGTAATTATATGATAACAAACGAGAACAGTGATTAAATAGAACACGACAAAACCGAACATAGGAAACAAAATATTAATAACGCATTTAAATACAAAAAAATATAATTAATGTTAAATTTAATCATTGTCATTTCTCTATTTCTATTTTGCATGAACTTTAATACATTTTTTTCGATATTCTATTTTGTCACTATTCGGTTTTATCGTGTAATTTCTATTTTATCGATATTCTGGTTTCTCATGTGCCAATTATGTAAGTATTTTAAAGAAAATTAAGTTAAAAATTTATATCCTCAAATGCTGTTTGCATCGTCGTTAATATGACTCATAAGGTCGTACCATCTAAATCAGATCTGTTTGTGTGAGAAGTCCACAGAGGATTACAAAGTTTCTAGAACGAAATAAAAATGTATTTTTAATATAAACAATTTAAACATCTTTAATTCATTCAGTAAAAAACCTTAATTTACAGTTAAGATAATTTGGGTTTGTTTTAGGAAACTCCTGATGTAATTTTAAATTCCTTTAAATAATTATTTTGTTGTTAGATGCTAAATTAATATTGTTTTGTCTAGCTCATTTTACATTCGTAAACTATAATATTTGTTATTCTTATGTATAATTAGTTTTTTGTCAGATTATGCAATTATTATAATAATAAATATATTTTAAATACTTTATTTAATGAATTAAATAAAAGTTTCGCTCTAGCAAAACATTTTATATAACAAAGAAGAAGCTATAAACATATATCAGTATATATCAGGAACACAAATAGTCTTGCGGTTTTCAATTTCAAATTGTGACTCATTTGGGCGTATCTTGTAAATCAGTTCCCAAATTGTCTGTGTTAGTACAAACAACTTTAATAATATTTTCACGGACGTTCCTTGCATTCTATAAAATTATCCTTTATCGAATCCAAAGAATGTCCGTCAGTTATCCTTATACCAAAAATAGATGATTTCTTCGAATTACGTATTAAATTAAAATGTACGGGAAATATTCATTAATAATAAATAATGAAATGAAACAACAACAATATTTATTCTAGCTAACGCGAAATGACGACTCAAGATATACAATAATTGCGTTTTAGAGAAAAAAAAAATACTTCAGTTTTTATTACATCAAATGCTGTATCATCGTCGTTAATGTGACTCATACGACGTATCATCTAAATCAGTTCTTTAAATTATTTGTCTGTGCGAGTATCCACATCAATTTTAACAAAATTTTCTTGGACATTCATTATACTAGAGTTTGTCCACCTATGGGTCACGTTTAACGATTTGCGAAATGACAGCTTATATCATTCTTAGCTCTCATCCCGTCACTTTTTCCTTTTTTTATTAAATTGTATATTAAAAACATGTAAAAATACAAATAAATATATTGGGTCACGCAGCAAAAGTTTTAAAAACGCTGCATTATTCAATGAATGGATCAAAATGTTAACACAATTTATTTAGAGAAATTGTGAAGATGCTTTAGGAGATTTTATTCCTTTAGTAAAATAAATATTTTTCAAACTATTATGCAACAACTATGAGAGACATTTATTTTACTAGCGTTTTTCTACTTATGGATCTCGTTAAATTTTTAACGCGTCGCGAAATGACAGCTGTCACCTTACGTCATTCTTAACTCTCATACCGTTAGATTTTCTACAATTTTTTGGTCTACTTTAGTTAGTTTAAATATATTGTGACAAAAAATAATGTTTCTATTTGGAAAAAAAAAATAAGAATATTTGGCAACATTAAAATATAAAAAATCTGTTAATTCTTTTGAATTAAATAGGATCAATAACAATATGTACCCTTTCATTGATCAAAGGGATTAAAGCTATATACTAAGTACGTTTTAATGAAAATTCATTTTAGAGTTAATCCCTTAAACTGCTGTTGCTACGGCCAAGCATTTCCTTTCTCCTTTTGTAAACAGGCTCACCTCATGCTATAACCGCAATATATACAGGAAAAGCTGTTACAACTTCAATTGTTTTATCATTTACTATATTTACTATTGCAAATTACATGTGTTTAGGAATTAAGTGTTGTTACACAAAGTATTCTTATTTTATATATACTATACTTCTTATCACTGAATTAACAATTATTTTATTAATTATAATATTTAGTTAGAGACAAAAAATTATTTTTTATATGAGTCAAACAAACGTGTTTACTAAATCAGTTTATAAATTAACAATATTTTCATTCATTTATCTTAGTTAGATTATCAAGAAAAACTATGTTTTGGACTATAAGACGCACATTTTTATTTATAGAAATCGACTTACAAATGATGTTTTTTTTTTCTTATAAAAATTGTCTCATGCATTTGGGGTGCGTCTTATAAGAAGTCAGTGTTATCATTACGAATTATTTTGAAGTACTCAAAGTTAATCTGACAATAAATTGAAATAATAATAATTTATGCTAAGAAAAAAAAACATTTGAAAAACAAACTCGGGTTTTATGAAGCTATTAATAGACTTGTAATTTGTACCATATATAAAAGTTTTATAAATTGTCTTGTTTTCCTTCGAAAAATATAAAAAATATTTTGCAATACTCAAGTTTAATCTTAAGCAATTGAAGTAATAACAAATTATATTGTAGAGGGAAACTCGAATGTATTTTCAAGGAAATGTATTTACAAGTTTATCCCTTGAACTCATGTTGCTACATGTACTTTTATTCTTTATGTACACACATGTAACTCATTTTAGTACAACGAATTCCGCGCATCGTCAATTGTTGCTGATATAATATTATCATACATTTTAACCATTATCAGCTGTTACTAGTAGATATCATTTTTTTAAAATTATAAACAATAGTGAATCATTTGTTCCGTTACAGCTTTATTTATTTATTTATTTATTATTTATATTAGTATAAAACATAGTTTATATCAAATGAATAATATTATTTTTATGCAACTATAATAACAATTATTTATATTAATGTTAAATATTTTTATTCTTAATATGTGTATATTTGTTAGAGTCTCAATCAATGGCGGAATTTTAAAATTTTGTCCCACCCTGCAAAATATTACTTGGACACCTCAGTCGCTTAGGATATTTTTAAGTAGCGAAGTACTGAGACAAATTTAATAGCACCAAGCAAATCGAATGTGGGCCCTAGACACCAATAAGTTTTAGTGTTGAGGGCCCAAATTTTTTAATCTTTTTTTAACCCTCCCCATTACAGTTCCGCCACTAGTATCAACTGAATGAATATGAAGATCATAAAAAATAATAATTTCAATTTGCAATGAGTCATTTGTGATTTTCCATAAGTGCTATACTAGAAATATTTATGTAATTTGTTAAATCTTACATGTAATGTCTTGAAGTAAGAATTGATTTGTACAGCTTTAGTAAGACACTTGCCGTAGTGAACTATTGTTGTCCAAAGAAACTATTTTATTTTAGCTAGCAATTACTCAGCTCATGCTTTATCGCGCTTTACTGCGTCGTGATTTATTCTTCTTTCAGACACACCCGTATATACAAAATACGCAGGAAACAGTTTGGTTTTGCTAAAATGTTTTCGTCGTGCGCTTTCCGTGAATTCGCATTCTGTTCGGGGATTGAACAATACCGCGTCAACAATGGGGACGCAAAACAACAAGAAGATGGTAAAAAAAACGAACTTACGTTACGTGGTAATGTAATAATCGGGTGGATGCGAACGGTGTCGCCCCTTATTATTATGCAATTGCTCCAGAATTGAAAATTACATAACGCCGTTCCGTTGTGCGGAAACCCGAGGACGGGAATTTGTTACACCCCGACGTCTAAAAGCTTGTTGGAGACGAATAACTCACCTCCCTCATCCGTCATGACTAATACAGTTGTGCTTGGGCCCAGTCCCTCCGGATTGAATACCTGCAGAGATACCAAATACTGTGTGTACGTTTCCAGGTCCAAAATCGTGTGGCTCTGCGGACAAAATAAATTCTATATTACTTCAGAACCATAAATTTAATAATATACACCTATCCTTCGTTCTACTTTTGCAACGCAACATAGCCATACTCAAACAGCACGATAAATAATCAATTAACACGATATCTCAAAGACTAGTGTTCAATTACCGTGTTATATAAGTTATACATATACAGGTGTCCTTCATTGTACTGTCGCAACACGGTATCTTTCTAACACGATTGGATTCATTATGATGTATACTCAATTAACACCACATCGTATGATGTATATTAGAAACTTGAAATTAATAAAATAGTTTTATAACACGCTTTTGTCTCACAACACATTCATTTAAAACGTTGTCTTAAAGACTAGAGTAATTAACTGTTGTACGAAGAATCTTAAAACACGGTTTTTCTTTAACACGATTAGAATATTGCATTCTCTCATCATGCATATTAAAATAACACTCTAGTAAAGACTATAATTACCCTATTATACGAAGAACCTGTATTAGTGTTCAATTCATCTATCTGATATTGTATGTATGTATTAGGTATTCAAATCGTTAAGCTTCCGTAATTCTCCTTGAGGTTCGGGCTTACCACCATCACGCACATCCATACAAATTGTGTTGTACTATTTTGCTGTGATTGACTATACCTCAACGTGCGAATCTCGGATGTAAATCTCTTGAACGTCGTCCGCCCCTCGATCTCTTGGCCTGTACGTGATCCTGTAACCAAGGAATTCCCCATGGATGGTATCCAATGTCGGTGCTCTCCAACTAATATGTAAAGCTGTTGCTGAAATATTGTGCGCCGTTGTGATTGTTGGTTTTCCCGATGGAACTGCAAGATAATAAATATAACAAATTAGTATTATTAATAAAATGCAACACTTATTCTAGTAAATATTAATAAATATTAATAATAGAACATTGTCATTTCTGTCTGTGTTTTTTTATTTTTAGTTTTGTACAAAAATTGTATAAAATATATGTATGTAAACTGATCAATTAATACATATTCAAAAATTTAAAAATGCATTTTATTTAAAATCATATATGTTAAAAGAGTAAAAATGTATTGAAAAAATGAATGTTTTCCTAATGGAAAATGCATTAAATTTTGATAACAAAAAAAAACTCATTTCCCAGTTGAAAACTACTGACAAAACAAATGGATTATAAATCCATTTCGGAACTACAATAAATCAATTTATTTGTTATTCATGTTTAACATTACACAAATATAAAATTTAATAGAATTTTATAGGCCAGAAAAAAAAACATGATTAAAATTACATCTATAAAAAAAGAAGAGAGAATGTAATAAAACAGTAAAATGATATATAAACAATGAAAAAAGGAACAACTCATATGTATAACAATAAAATAAAATATAAACAACGAAAAAAGCAAATTAATTTAATATTATGAAGTGGAAATATATTTGAACATATTCAATATTGAAAATAATATTGAATATGTAGCCAATAATTCTGGCTTTGAACAACGAATTTATTTTTTTCATTTTCTACAAATCTTTTCAATGGACAATAATTAAAATGTTTGAAATAAAAAATACATGAATTTTTTCAATAGTTTTTTTTTTCTATGATCGATAAGGGTTTTCTAACATAATATAATATTAAGGGTTGCCAAAGTTTGAAAACCTCTGATTTATATTATATGCGTTTCATAGTATGCAACCAAACGAACACGTAAATTCTGATATCGTTGCATAAACGGTCGTGTCCATCCATCATTTCCTTTTATCTAGATGCATCCTTGATGATTTATGAAATCCTTGTATATTTGTATAACAATTGTTATTATTTTATTTTATGAAATAAACAAGGATTGAATGAGATTTATAAATGGTTGAAGTATTCTGATTTAGCATGTGTTATAATACTTTGCGAAAGTTATAAACAAAGTGTAGTATCCATATCTAGCACGTACAGATGTACACTACTATCCTAGCTTACTTTCAATAAATCGTCACTTATCATCCATCTAAGCACGTGACTGTAAACTCCGCCATACGTGACGACGTAATCTCCATGAAGCAGATATTTAGCTAAACGTGGAGAATCTAAACTACAGCACATATACTTGTAGATAATCAAGAATCTGGAGTGAATATGCGCAACACTCGACTTGCTAATACTAAATACAGAGATTTGCGGATTTATACCTTCCACTGGTATTAAATTAATCAGATTTGTGTAATTATCAATTAAATTATTAATTACTTTGGTATTTCGATGGCCAATCAACACTTGTAAATATTTTTTTTTAAATAACATTTTTATTTACCCATTTTCGTATCTTATTTCAAAATCGTGTTATACGATATAAAATGTTACAGAAGCGAAAATAAATTTACCGTGTTATATCAAAAACGTGTTAAAAGTAATGTACCGTGTTAATCTTTTTTAGTAATTTGTGGAATTTTAGATTAAATTATCAATTACTTTGGTATTTTGATGGCCAATCAAAAATTGTAAATAAATTGAAAAAAAAATAACATTTTTATTTACCCATTTTCGTATCTAGCCTACATTCTGCTTATATCAAAATCGTGTTATACAATACAAAATGTTACAAAAGCGAAAATAAATTTACCGTGTTAAAAGTAATGTACCGTGTTCATTTTTTTAGTAATTTGTGGAATTATAGATTAAATTATTAATTACTTTGGTATTTTGATGGCTAATCAAAGTTTGTAAATGAAAATAAAGGTCAGTACCAATTTACCTATAAAAATATGTTGGTTTATCCATTGTGGTCTTAAAAAATAATGATTCCTTGCTTGTTAAAAAACTAAAAATAGTTATTAAGAATAATTGTTGCATGTTACGTTAATGAAAATGTTCGTTGGAAGTTCAAAAGCGTTGTAAAGATCAAAAGCATAGCATCTATAAATTCCTGTAAAGCTTTGTAGTCTGGATTTTCAGTTTTCAGTTTTGCATCTTTTCGTTTCGGAGCTTATTTCTATTGACCACGAGGCTATTTTTCTATATGTTGAGTGTGCAAATGTTCTTTGTTCGTTTTATATTCAGCGCGCGCATTGTACAACGCCTTCCCTTAATGCATTTTGTAGTACATGTGGATATGGTAGTATCCCAGAAAAGGGTTAATGTAATTTCTTTGCGTTCTTTCTGATATCGATTCATTCCGGCTTGCGTACTATTAGCTTCATTATCTATATTGTGGAACCTGAGCGTGACCGAAGTAAACTCCTGCTAACAATTTGACCCGGCATTTAAATGGAATCGATCCATCCGCCAAACTGCAGCTCCCTATCAGGAAATTAAAGATCCACTAGGCCGTGAACTTAATCAATTGCGAATCGTTAACGAGTGTAAACATTTGCACTGCGAATATATTTCAGAATCCTGTTGTTTACACCCTTCATGCACAATTATCCCAGTATACAATACAATTTCAATGATTTCCTTTAATTTGTATATAAATTTTGCATTATTTATTTAACATTATTTAAATTGGATCAATTAAAACTAAAAAAATACGTAAAATATATTACACTCATTTTAGACCGCATTTCAACATCGAAATCGTGTTAAAAATAAACTTAGTAATACAATTTATTGGAAGATTTGTTCCTATGTTAATTCAAAATCGTGTTATAAGTATATATTTACGGTTCGGTTTGCATTCCGTGCATTGTACCGTGTTATAATAAAATCGTGTTAAAAGAAACCTAATACTTAGTATACTGTTAACTTTTTAAAGAAACTTTAAATCAGAGTAAAACTTGTTCCCAGAGTACCGTGTTATATCAAAGTCGTATTATAGGATATCAAATCTTACAAAAGCGAAATTAAATTTTGTTCTCAAAGTACAGTGTTATAACAAAACCGTGTTAAAAGTTCAAATCGCAGTAAAGTTTGTTCCAAGAGTAAAGTGTTATATTAAAATCGTGTTATAAGATATAAAATATAACAAAAGGAAAGATACAGTTTTGTAAAATAAATTCGGTTATTATTCCGAAATTTTGTTCTCATATAACACGGTTCTTATATTAAAAACGTGTTATATGAAAATTAGTACCGTGTAAAAAGATGTTTAGTACTTAAAGCTTGCTCACATAGTACCGTGTTATAAGATGTGAAATCATATAAATCATAATATAATATAAATTTACAGGTCAAAAGTTGCAGTAATTCATGTGTTTATATTTATTTCATAGTAATATGTAATTAATTGTGCTATTAAATAATTATTGCAATTAATATTATTATTATAAATATAAATTTATATATACAATGGAAAATAAATTATATTGATTTTACAAAATAAAAATCAACATTTTTCTGCATCAGTTAATTAATTTAAAATTTACATTTTACCTTCAAGCGAAATAATCTTTCTTTTTTTCATTTACTTATTTTCATCAAGCATTATTCAAAAGTGAATAAAACAAAATATTTCCACATAAACGTTAGGATTTTCTTATAATTTTAAATACAAAATAAATATTCAATATAAAAATTATATGAAATTATGATAATAAAAGACAAAAGTAATTTTATTAAATTATATAAATATTTCATTTATTAACAAGATTCCGTCTACTCAATTAGTTTTCATTATGTACAGCAATGCACAGATTACAAATTCTGAATCTCGTAAAAAGAAGAATGAGAGAGAACGACGTTATTGTGTATACAAGGGGAATTCTCTGTTAATTTTAACTGATGAAATGTAATGAAAAAAAAATGTTGATTGCCAGCTACAATATAACTACTACAGTAGATTCTCGTATAACGCGAGTTTTTACAATGCGCTAAAAATATTGGGACAACTTTTTTACATAACGCGATTCTCGTTGCAAGCTATCATCTAATTTGCTATAAGTATTTATCAGACATTTGACTATCTTAAAAGTCTAGTTTTACACGGTACTTTCTTTACTCGTTTTAGCTGTTACACGGTTTAAAAAAAATAAATGTTGACAATAATATCGATGTCGTAGATTTAAATAAATAAATAAATAAGTATATGGAAACCATGTTAAAAGAATCGTGTTATATTTGTATAAGAGAATAATGGTTTTAGTGTATTCATCTTACCTTCTCTAAGAGTGACCATGTAGTAAGACTCTTTTCCGGGGACGCTTGGACCCATTTCATTGACTGCAGTTACCCTGAAGCTATAGACGGTGTAGGGATAGAGGTCAGAAACCATGTGACTCGTTTTATTGGTCGGTGTCAATATTCCACCGGTAGGAGTCCAAGCTCCGTTCTCTCCAACTCTGAAACAGACAGGAACAATGGTTTATGCAAAGACCTTATAGATTTCCGAATTCTTGCGCCACTTAATTTCTTCGTTCCCAGGTGATAAGGTGGCTCCTCGTCTCGCAATAATTCTTCATAAGATTATCATAGGTGTGTTTTAATTGCACATAAACTTTGCTGCTATCTGGGAACACGGTTAGGTGAGGGGCGCATCTTTTTATCGGGAGCTTATTTATATACTTTAAGCCAGTCACTGTAAAAACTTTTCCGGCCAACGTAATTTATACCCTCCGACCGTTTATATATATATACATATATTTTTTTTGTTTGGTTTAGCCTTTTTTCGCATTTATTTTAAAACTTCACCTCATGATGGTTTTTGTCTTCGCCTTGGAATCAGGACTCTCTCTCTGTACATTATAGGGGTTTGCATATACATGATGCAGACCCACATTCTGATCCTTCTAACTGAATATAGGACACATTATACTAATCAGAAATCGCAAGAGTGTCCCAAGCAACACTCCCGGCAACCATTTGTATGATACGAATGATGAATTACGAAGGCAAAAATACGTGCCTCGAAACCAAAGTGGAGGGTTCCCCGCAAGGATATTATATTTGCGCCAGTGATTCAAGAATCCCGAAACCTTTTTTTTATTTTTCCTCGTCATATAAATATTTTTTTTTTTTATGATTATGAAAACATAACGTTATTTATTCTGCGCCGGGGTTTATGAATACATTTGCTTCAATTATAAAGAGAAAAGAGTTTCACGGAACATAATAGAAAGGATGTCAATTTCGACGCATCTTCATTGTCATGCGGAGAGCCAAAAATAAAAGTTGCACAGAAAAAAAAACTTTTTTAAAGTGTGAAGGCTTCCACCCGGCAAGTGCAGAAGTGTGTGCACTTCAAAGTAAAGTATGTGGATGCCTCGTCCTGTTCTCAGGAGTCCCGTCTGCTTCTATTCATCCATTTGTTTACGTGGCCCGATTCAGATAATCCTGTTTTTTTTTCTTTTTACTATTTCATTCTTCGAATTCCCTTTTTCCCCGTTAGAATCCATACAAAACGAACACCCCTCACAAATAGCCAATCCATTCCCGTGCGAGTCCTGCTGATCCTATATAATGCGTGCACTATAGATACGTTCGGGATACGTTTCTAAAACTAACCGTAACAACGTTAAAATCTATCACCATACGAATATTCAAAATACGTCATCCATCCATCCATTATAATTGTAATAATAGTACATGTTAGGATGTTTACCTCCAAATTGGACATCCATCATGAGATTTTTCAGTTATATCCTTTTTCCCAAAATGTATGCTACTATATGAAACTACGTTCTAAAGAACACGAATCATCTCTCCAAGTACATTACTATGTTTAACTTAAAAAAAATAAAGGACAAAATTACACTTTTAGAAAAAAAGGTCAATGCTCTATCTAGGATATGAAATTACGTTGTTAATAATCACCTACTCAATTAAATTACTTTGTTTAATTAAAAAAAGGACAAAATGACAATTTCAGAAAATAAAATTGACAGAGCTTGTTTTCAAAATAAAGGATATATGTAAATATACCTAAACTTCATTACAATTCCCATTACTTTTCTTGATGCATTTAGTTAAGTAAAAGTGTAATTTTATCACCCATTTATCAAAGTGCAAATACACATTGCTTAACTCTTTTAGGTATATTTTATTTTAGTAGTGAATTGCTATTTAAAATATTTAAATCATATTTTACTGTGTTATGATACAACTATAATAAATTGCTCAATCCAACTGAATAAATAACAAAAAATATTAAAATTTAGAAACAGTAAATGATGTCTCTTTGTTTAATTACATTTGTGAATACATTTATTTGATATTTTTGCCAATGAATGGTTATTGGAAACTCAATTTACTGCAGCAACAATAAAAATAAATAAATGAAATCGCAATTTGTTCGAGCAGAAAGATTACAAAGCGATATATGATAGCGAGTTTGAATAATATATTAGATTAATGGGATATGGTTGTATAGTGAACGAGTGCGAATAGAATTTAGTGGTGATATTGATAATAGCTACAATGAAAGAGAGACTGTATATATTATTAAAGGTTTCATTTAAAGCAAATGGATAGTTCATATACTGTTTTTGCGAATTCGATTCTTTTTTTTTAATTTCTAGCTTTATTTCTGTTTGTATTGATGTTAGGATGATTTTAACACTTTAAGGGTAAATTGATTATATATATGTTTGTAATTTGAAAAAGTTTATAAATTAAATTATATATTTCAATCTTAATAAGTAGGATACGTGAATTCTCAGATGAAGTCCGATGATAAAGTACGTTTGTCTGAACAATGAGTACGTTTGTGCGAATATAACAGAAAATGCATGTGTTTTTTCCTAGAGTAGTGAATAAATTGATAAATATTTCTTTTGTAATTTATCCTGTAATTTATTTGTTTAATAATAATAATAATAACAAACTCCTAGTTAATTAAAACAAACTGTAAATTGGCATTGTCGTTTGTTGTCCTGGATATGAAAATGCATATTAAAAAAAATGTAAAAGGGAAGGGGTTAATTAACGTTCAATTTAATGAAATGGGATGGTTCATTTAGTTGATGGTCTTTTTGTGATTGCGAGTGTTTTTGATTTGGAGCTTTATTTGTATTCGTACTGTCGCTAGGATGAATTCACCCTTTTACCCTTTTGGTGGGTGGTAAATTGATTAATGTTCCACCTGCCATTTGGTAAAGTTTATAAATTAAATAACGCACGTAGTATACATTGCGCGTAAGTTCTCTAGGAGTTTGCAGCAAGTTTGCACATTCTCTACTTCTTGTTCATATTCTGCTTGTTCACCCTCCCTCACCCCTTGTTCTGAGTGCCGTCAGTTCCCAAAGATAAGCGATGAAATTTACACCGTCTCGAAATGCCTCCTCCCAATGTGTGTACTGCACTGTCTATAACGTATATGGAATACATTTATATAGGAGTTATATAGGAGTATGGGCTTAGAGGACGAGCGAAATACACCAGTTGCTGGCTGGTCCTGGGTCACAGTATATCATATTAGTAAAGCTAAGTTTAAATTGAATTTACACATCGGGCAGTTACGATTTTGAACTGGAACATAACCAGACACACCAATCGGAATTTGTTGCCAAACATGTATTTCCGTAAGCCGTTATTTCACTAATTTATTACGTGTTTTCATTCAAATCATTACTCACTCTAGACTTTCATTGCCAATTACAATAATTTAGTTATGCTTAAGTGAGAGTTAATTATATATTGCAGTTAAAGTTTACAACATCAATATTACATAAAGTATCAACAGTTAATTTCAGATAATTATTGCCTAATTAAACCATTAATTAGAAACAAATAGAAAAATATTATTTTTGTCATTTTTTTTTTCAAGAAGTGAAAAAATATTTTCTATAGTTTATATAATGCAAATCTATGTTTATTTTATATAAATAATGAAATAATGATTTGGAATGATTCAAAGGAAAATGTGGAAGGATTTTAAGGTGTATTAATCTGAAAGGGAGATATTTATTAGTCTCATTAGAAATTAATTTGAAGGTGGTGGTGAGTATTGGGGTTGTAGAGCTAATTTAATTTTCATAACTACCGAACGACATCTGATCTGTCTTTCTAATTGCTTTTGAGCTGAAAATTAACTCGGAAAATGGAATTCTCATCAATTCTAGTAAAATACTGTTTCATTTAATTATTTACGTTTGCTCTTATCATTCATTTTTAATCTAGCTATTAACACATTTCATTTCCATAAATTAAGTTTTTTAAAATTAAGAATAAATTATTCATAAGTCAAAATATATTTATTATTTTTTGTAGGTACAATTTTGATAACAATTATAGGAATTTTTCCAGAAAATATTATTAAAGTTAATAATCTTAATTATTCTATAGTTTAATTAGTTATTCTATAAAATACCTTATTATATGTATATACATTATAAGTATATAATAAATGTCATTGAAGGAAACCTATATATTTGTAAGTCGTTATATCACTAATTTATAGCATGTTTTGATTGAAATGATTAGGCTCTATAGACTTTTATTGGCAATCACAACAATTTAGTTATGCTTTTGGTCCGTTGAGAGCTATGGTATTTCTAATTGTGGTTAAAGTAAAGGGCTATAAGAGCTCGGAGCAAAGCGACAGTAAAAAGTAATTACGCTCGTTAAAAAATGTCATAAACCGTGGACAAAGTTTCGCGATAGTTTCCGATCCTCTTAGCGAAGTTTAATGAAGTGGGTTTTTGTTCGGGTGATATTTCTTTGGTGTAACGTATGTCGACAGGTGGCGACTGTCTATGACCGGCCGAAGAAAAGTGTAGCCGTTGCAAAAGAATAAGTGGACGGGGTAAAAGTTTTTGGTTCTAAGATAACTTTGTTGTGTTACTACACAATCCAAACGTTACACCAAGCCAAAGTCAGCGTGGCAATTGGTATGTGAGAGAGAGAGAGTATTGGATTTGGTTAGATGCTGACCACCTGCAGGTACACATTTACGGTAATGCTCATTTGTGGGAAGGGTTTTGTACTATGTCATTCTATTTGCGATGTGACTTTCTCAACGTCACTAGGGATACTATCCCAAATCGCCTATCTAAGCTACTTAATGGGACTGCACTTTATTAAGGGTCTCAGCACCAGCACTTTTGAAGGCCAGATCGATCACACTGGGATTGGGGGTTGGGGTGGTAGTAATAAACGATTAGTGGACTGAAACACCAATGCTTGAACGACAATCTAATAATGTCCCCCCCATTACCTTCTTTTTATCTATTGCTTTTGTCTGCATCAACCCATTAGCTGTCCTCGCTATGTCATAGATATTGTTCAGGAATGATGGTATTATTATGCACATGTCAATGGAAATCCTATAATAGTACAATACGTTACACAAATAAAACTTCGACAATGTCATAGAATCAACTTGCATCACTTGTCTTTAGAAAA